TATATATATATATATATATATATTAGTGAAAAAATATTTTCTTTCATACCAAACATACTCTAAGAGTAAAATAAGAATTAGTTTAAACTCAAATTATTTCTTAATATAAGAAGATATTGTTCAACCTATAAATCATACTCATGACATAGTAATTGAAATTATATTAATCAATTTAGTTAAGCACTGATGAAGGAAGGGCCATGTGAAATCAAGAATGATAATGACAGGGATATCTAAATTGATACAATAAGTATTCATTAGCAATAATAAACTAATTAGGCTAAAATTAAGGGATCTTAATTATGGGGTCTTCTATTTATGCTGAGGACTCAACTACTAATATAATATTTTGTGCATTCATTGATTTTACCTATCAATAACTATATTATATCAATCCACAATGACATATTTTTTCTTCAATATTTTAGGTTTTAGTGATTTAATATATTGTTCATGAGACGTCTATTTGTGGGTTGGTAGGGTGCAAATCCATCCTTAATATCCAATGCACAATAGAATATTAGGGGAAAAAAAGAGTTCGATACACATAACATTCTGTAAAAATGTGTAATATATACTGTCTACTCTAATACAAGTATTAATGATTGTTTCTACGGCTTGAACCTATGACGTTATAAATAAGTATTATGCGGAGAAATGTGATATAAATAGTCTATCCTAATACACATATTAATGACTGATTTCACGGCTCGAATTGGTAACCTGTAAATCACAAAAACATAACTATATTGAAAAAAAGTGTTTGGACCACAATTTGCTTGTTACTATAATTAATTTGTTTAGTGGTATGGGCATTGTTTCAGATGTGAATTACTACCAACCATCCTCAAAACCAGACTTAATTAATTAATATCTACTTTTGACTACTATTAATATTTTTAGTATATGGACATCAAGCTCTTCTTTTTTGTTCTTAAACTTTCCTTAAATTAAATGGATTTAGATCCACCTCTAGGCTCTAGCTACTACCTAGTTTGATCTTCGATCAACATGTGAACTTTATAAGTTCGACTTTTATAAATTTAAATACTAAAATATGTGTGTTTAAAGTGATTAAATAGAATTGTTCTTCTTTACGATCAACTCAAAACATCGAAGAGTTGCCAGATAGTTTTGACGATCAAATACATCACAAGAAGATTCAAACCATCCACGTTCAAGAAATACTCTATTGACAATACTCAAATCAGTAAAAAAAATTAACAAAAAAGAATATGGTATTTTATATTTTTTATTTAGAAAAGAATAAACATAATTAGGGGGAAAAAGGCTATTTCTACTTCTTTTTCTTGTGGATGGATGGAATAATACCACGTCATAGAAGATTACCCATGGCCACGAGGAACAATAAGTCTAAAGATTCTTATAATAAAATTAAAAATCATCTACTTATTTTGAACCACTCCTTTTTATTATATTGCGCATCTATTATATGATTTAATTTAATTTAACCAACATTTATTAATTTCTCACATGTTGCAACAAAAATTCCTTTCTCGTGATCAAGAAAATGTTGTCATTTTGTTTACCTATTCTTTAATTATCTTTAATTTTTTGTTTCCATATTATTTGGATATAATAATTCCTTTTTATTTTATTTTATTTTAAGAAAAAGAATAAAAAGAAATTGGAATTTTCTTGAAAAATACATCGCCTCTACCTTTTGAGTGTACACTGGATAAACCCATTCATGTGCTGACTAAGAAAAGGACCAAGTGAAGGCAATAACGATCCAATATTTTTAATATGGGTTGGGTTCGAAAAATAAAAATGTAGTGTTTTGAATTTGAAATTTAAGGTGAATTTTGAACCTCCTCATTCACTAACCATAAATCTAATTTTATGTTAAGGAGGTTCAAAATTTATACATTCACATATGAAATTCAAAAAATATCCTACATATACCATGTATTTTTTTATTGAGAATCCTCTAACTCCGCCCCCGATCCTTTTTGGAATACCACATTCGCTAGCCAATCAAATTCAGTTGCTTCTGTATAATAGCTCACAAAATTACATAAGAGATATAAACCTCACAAGACAAATCAATGTCTAATCATATAAATAATTATCTTTTACATTGTCAAATATATACGAGTTGTGTGAGATTTTTTTTTATTTTGTTTTTCAACAAAATTTAAATCCACAAAACAAAAATAAATCTCACATAATTCATGTTACACCATACTGAAAATAGCTGGAGAGCACTTTATAAGAATTAAAATGTGAAGAGACATTTATAACCTTTCGTGTTATGAGAAGTCATTGGTGAAACTCAATTAACTTTTATATAGTATGACGAGATTGATGATCATCAACGTTACTCTATTTCTAAAAATAGAAAAATATCATGCATTAGATAATTCTAATTTATCACTAAAAAATAAACGATTTGAATTGTTTGGCTACAATTAAATCAAAGACTAAAAACTTATGGTGGAGATTAAATTTCTAAAGATAACAATATAGATAGTAGTTATTGATATGTTTCCGTCTAAAACAAGTAAATGTTAGTTATATGAATCTTTATCATTCGCCAGGACATAGACGAAAGATAAGCTAGAGTCGGTCAAAGGTGGATTTAAAATTTTAAAATTTGAAATTTTAACAAATTTCTGAACTCCATAATTAATCTGTTTATTTGTGTATCTTTTGAATTTTAATAGCGTTTTATAGAGTTGTACTGTATTTTAGTTAGTTGTATTTTTATCCAAAACATTTTGTGTGGCAAAAAATAGTTAAATATTAATAACTTTTGGAATAGTATGACTAATAATATTTAATATGATGTGTTTGAAGTGATTATTTAACCACCTTTGGTTATTGGTTCTAAAAGGACAAGTACTCCATTGAGTTTCAATTTATTTATTGTGAATAATTAAATGAATGTCGGGTGTGATTTAATTTCGGAATTTAGCTCAACTAGTAAGGATATATTGATCAAGTTATATAAAGAGTCCAAAAATCTTATTAATTTTCGATGTGGGATTCCATTTATAATCCCAACACGCCTAGACTTTGTCCGATGTTGAGTGTGTTATTTGGGATATAACATTGGGGCCTAACTTTGATATAATCTTATACTAAATGCGTGAATAATTCATTTGATAATTGACTCTGGCATTATATTAAATGGATCTTGGGTTAAAATCATCTTAAAATAACTCAAAAGATGTAAATTGTTCAAGTCATATAAAGAGCCCAAGAATCTTATTATTTGATGTTCAGTGCCTACAATTTAGGACACTGATTAATTTAGATTTTTGTTTGGTAAAAATCATTAAAGAAAATACAAATAATAACAGAAATAGAAAAATAAAAACTATAATAGAGTAATAGTATCTACTAGTTTAGAAGGATAAGCGTTAGTCGTGACCACACTTAACTACCTATTAACTAACCACCTTAATTAATTTGTATCTTCTATAACCTCATATCTATATTTATATCCTCAATAAGTAGAAACTGTGTTTAATCTTTGCCTAATCACCTCTCTTCAGTACTTCTTCGACGTACTTCTATCTCTTTTGGAACTATCCAAAACCAACCTTTTACATTTTCACTATAAAACATATGTGCATCTCCTGTTTAAATGTTAAATCATCTCAATTTTACTTTTTCATTATATTTTTCATTAATATCACTTTCATTTTATCTCGAATATCCTTTCCACACAAAGAAGGATCTTATATATCGAACGATAATTGAGGTGTGATTTACCAAATAATTGAATTGTAGTTAATGCATCAAAAAAGGACATAGTGGAGAATCAATAGACTCCATAGGAGATGTGTCCAATAAGCTAACCTATGCAAAGTAGGCTTTACCCATACAGGCAACTGGCCCTACCTTTAAATTTTTTAACATAACCGACAATAGGATAAAATCAAAAAGTTTTTCATCGAATCAGAGTTTATATCGATGTTTGATTAAATTTAAATTTTTATTAAAAAAAATTATATTAGAAATGCAATATCAAATCATAAGACTAGCTATTCTTAGATTGTTATCCTACGTTGAGTATGAGACACTTCATTTTATATTGTTTGTTTCTACTATTAAAAATATATTTTTCGAGGGCTAAAAGACCTCGTAAGTTGCTGAAAGTTGTGGTTTGGTACCAACTTACTATAAAAGCCCTAAACTTGAAAAGTAATGCAAAGAAAAGTATGTTCCACAAACAGAAAGAAGGAAACTTAATTAACTAAGTAACCCACGATTAGATTCACGAAAAGGTCAAAAATATTTTAAAACCATATATTATACGATTGATGTAAAATATCCCTTCGTTGTTAGGATCCTTCATCGTAGCAAAACCACTCACTTGGCCTAACAGAGCATGTCGCGTAATTACAATGCTTCATATTAATTGCTTTTTAAGAAGAAAAGAAATCAAAGCAAAAAATGTATATATATATATATATATATTATTTCTCTCTGCACAACGATTTAAAAAAATGTAGCAAAAGATATATTAAGCTCTTGTTATGTATATGAGGTTTGAGAAAAGATCGAATCACAAGATTCTATTGTACACAATTCTTTTCACAGCTTTAACTAGTGACATTCTAATCACATGACATCAACCTTATCAATTATGATAAAGATAAATCGATAAATATGAATAAGGAGTAAAGAGGAATAAAAGAAAAAAAAGGGAAAGATAATTTCACATAATGCACTAATTAGCTCTCACTATGTGCGGGGTTTCAACTAGGATCAAACCATAAGACTTTATTGTCTAAGACTATTTCCACATCTCGAACCAGTGACATCTCTGGGTCACACTAAAGTAACTATACCAGTTACGTCAAGGGCAAATTGGTCAATTGAAAAGAAAAGGGAGAGAGAATTCCATATCTCACATATAAGAGATGAAGCGCGTGGAAAGATATGAATTTTATGATAACTTAAATATCAGCCTCTCCCAAAGTACTCCTATTTAGAAGTTGACGCCCATTTTTCTAACTTATCTTTTTTTTTTCTATACTATTTTTCTCAGTGTCTTCTCACCAATTGCCATTGACACGACAAAGCTTTCAAATCCCCAAAAAAGTTCCTAATTAAATATTCCAAACTCTTAACGCGTTTATCTTCTCCTTCTCCATAAACCCTAGCTTTAATTTTTTCTCTCCGCGTTAAATTCACTCTGTAACTATGGATGAGAACGATAAGCAGGTTGATAATGATCCATTACCTAGTGGTACTACTGGTGGTGCTGCTGCAGCGGTGTTCACCGGCGCCGCTTCTGAATCAAGCTGGTCACTCGGTGGTGGTGATGATGAATCGGACAATGTTTACTTCTTCGGTACTAGTAGTACTGATAGAGAGAGCAGTATATTAACTGAATTCGGCTGGAATTTTCAGCCGGACGGAAATAGAGATGTTCGCGCCGGTGGTGACGGTAGTCGATTTCATCGGATCGATGAGGATTTGGCGGGAAATAGTACTACTACTGCTTCTGCTTCTGCTTCTGTTACTGAACCGACGGTGACGGAGAAAATCACCGATGAACCTGTTTCATCTAGCTGTTCTGATGATCCGCCGGAGAAATCTACAGCTTCCGGTAGCTCCTCCGCCTCTCGACCGCCGTCCGATACAGCGTGAGTCATGTGTTTATCATCGACTTCTCTGTGTGTCTAAATTCGTAATTAACTGCGATTTCAATGGTAAATTAGGAGTAAAAACGCCATTAACGTGTCCGTACGTAGGCGTAGAAAAAATGTCAAGTTCACGCAAGTTGAGGGAAGAGAAAGAGAGGTATTATCGTAATTTTAATAATCAAACATGGGCTTTTCGGTATTTGCTCACTTTTCTGTGGCTTCAAACCAGCCGTTATTGCGGCGGGAATGGCGTGGATGAATTTTTTCCTCTAAAACTAAATATCGTAATAATAATTAAAATTAACTGTTAAGGAAAAGTATTTTTTTTTTTTATATAAAAAAGTAACTTGCGATAACTCTTCCCTAATAATGGTAAGGTGTAATCTCTTACAGAATTAGTTTCTTCTGCTTCATTATTTCGTGGTCCATTGCTTCGTACATTAGTATTTAAAGAAAGAAAAAGGAATGGTACAATCTGGAAGCTTTTATTGATGAAGCAATAATAAAGTTATTTTCGTGTGATATGTGTGTTAAAATTGTAAAATTAATCATCAATATAGCCTTTAGTCAGTTTCTCTGTAATACAAAATACTTCATGAATTTTTGGTTTGTGTGAACTCTCAAGGTCCATTGCAATGCATTTCTCTATGTTATGGTCTACATTATACTTGTAGTGCAACCTAATTATACAAGCCCAAGTGAAATTTTGTTTTTTGTTTTAAAAAAAATAATCTTTCGTTAATAATAAATTGAACTAAGGTAGAGTTACTTAAAGCAAACAAACATGAAGAGAATTTGGATACGTTTTTATAAGTAGTAGTAATAAGTATTAGTAAGTGGTATTACTATTTTGATGTTGTTTAGTAGTATTACGCTACCCGGGTTTCTAACTTTAAATTCGTGTGTTACATGTTTGTCATTGATACAATAAGTCAACCACTAATACATCTAAATTTCAACTAAGTTGGAGTCAACTAGATAAACTTAACTTGTTACTTATCAATATATAAAAAGAATATAACATTGGGTGATTTCTTCCTATCTGTTAAAGTTTTGGTGGTCAAAGTTACTTGGTACCTGTTGTTGATGGGAGGTGATAAATATCGTGTGAAATTAATCGAAGTGTTTGATACCCCAAAATATAAAACCAATTTAGGTGACAAATATTCGTCATGCCTACAACTTCATTAAAATAATAAGTACCCATTCTTTTTCAATTGAAAGATATTTTGTTTATTACAATGATTTACTAATTGGAAACTAGATTGGTTCATATTAAATGATGCATTGAGTTTCTTAGTTATAAAGAAAATGCAAGTGTACTTGGAATTATATATAATTATTTTTACTAATATTTTCTAGTACTATAGTATATATTATGTAATGTATGATGAAGGAATCACACTCCTAATGTTACTTTAGGTTGAATATTCCACAGAAGCAAGGTTAAAAAGAAGGGTCAGAAACGAATCAGGCAGCCCCGCTTTGCATTTATGACCAAAAGTGAAGTTGATCATCTTGAAGATGGCTATAGATGGAGGAAATATGGCCAAAAAGCTGTTAAAAATAGTCCATTTCCAAGGTACGTTGGGACGAATTTAAATTTTATGAGTTTTTAATGATTATTTGAAGTATACTTACTAGGTTCAAGTTTTAATATTGAGAAAATTGTTTAATAAAACTAACCATAAGATGTACATGTACTTGACCAAATTACTTTTAATCCTACCTTATATACACGAGTAATCATTTGTTATATGCCTTTTTGGAATAGTATGGAGATTGTTTTCAAGAAAAAAAATTGTCTTCTTGGGGGTTTTTGAAGTGACAGATTAAATATTTGGACCAAACTTGTTTGACTAAAGTGATAGTATAAGTAATAAAAAGGACAGACGGTAGTATTTTAAGTATTACATTTTGTTGGAAGGTATTATATCTAATCCTAATTCATGTCCTTATATCCTATGGAAGCATATACATGTATCTTAACGAGTGATTATTTATTTATTATTGTGGTGTTCCGTCAAGGTATGCATATCTTGATTGGTTTTATAGAGTACTTTGTTACAACCACCTATATATAGATATCAGATAACTATATCCGCAAAGATTTAGATAGATAAAACCATATATTCCTTTCATTCCAATTTATATGATTTAGTTTGACTCGAACACATTGCATACTTACTTTTGATGAAGTCAGAATTTTGGAGTTTATAAATAATTACTCATGATGAATATGTATGACTTGTCAGGAGTTACTATCGTTGTACAAATACAAAGTGTACAGTAAAGAAAAGAGTGGAGAGATCCTCTGAAGATTCCTCAATTGTAATCACAACATATGAAGGACAACATTGTCACCATACAGTTGGATTTCCTAGAGGTGGACTTATCAATCACGAAGCATTTACATCTCAATTAACACCTTTACCCTCACAATTCTATCATCCATCCGGTGTTCAATACCCTCATGAATTAGTTCCTATGAGTAGTCCCGCTGCACCAGAATCACATACAATGCCTGGTGAAACCGGACCCGAACCTATTAGACTGCCAGAAACAAGTCAACCAGATGCTACACAACAACCAACTGATGAAGGATTGCTTGGAGATATTGTACCTCCTGGGATGCGAAGCAGATAATATAAAGGGTAATATAATCCCTTTCCTAATTTGCATTAATTTATCATATATTTTTTTAAATTTCATCAATGACATATACTATTTGGGGGATCGTTACACGTGTGCGCCTACACACGTGTAAGAGTATGTGTTTTTTTTATAAGAAATTTCTGTCAAGCCTTTGTTTGTGATTCACACTCAATGTTTGCTGCTTATTAAAGGGGAAAATGCTCTCTATCTGAATTTTTCCACTTCTGAAGTTCATATTTAGGACCTTTTAGTTAAGAGAGAAGAATTCTAACTAAGCCACATTATCATTTATTTAAGGGTTCTATATATAAATTGTTGAATTGTTTGACCATTCTAAGAGTTTAAACTTTGAAGAACATACTTTTAATTATTTTTATGGGTAAAAATTGCATGCAGACTTTTTGTTTTTGCTTTTTGGAAAGCTTTTAATATGATCTCTTACTTTACTTACTTTGTTAAATCGTATATAATTGTTTAAAGTTTCGCATGAGGTAAGTGATTATACAATTCAATACATATTAACAATCGATTACTAAAGATTCCAAGTAGTTTATAAATCTAATCTATAAATATAAATTAAATTAGGTGATGTTTTCTTATCTGTCTAACTCTGATATTTGACAGAGTTATCCAATATTTGTTATAGGTGGGAGATAATAGATAGAAAATGAGGATGAATTCAGATCAATCTATAAGTTAGTTCTATATAGATATCTTTTAACATTTCATTAAGCTCAAGTAATAATAAGACATAGGATCTGTCAATAATTTTATGTCCGGTCAAATCGAACAAGATCCCAAGCGATGGAAATTTAAAGTTGATAAAGTTTAAAACACATAAAAGTCTCTTTCCCATAGATTGCTTTCCCACCGCAACCTTCTTTCTGTGGTGGTTGCTTTGTCTCTTTAAAAAGTACTAATATATCTTTCAATATAATATAGTTATAATATTGCATTGTTTGGTCCCCCACTGGTTTTAAGCAACAATCTATGGTCTTGATGCATGAACTAGCTAGAAGTAATTGATGATTGATGCTTTTCATCCACATTGTTTTTACTATTTACAAAGGCTTGTTACGATTGAATTACTTTGATTTTAATGTGATTGAAAGTTACCTTGTGATAGATTTTGGGATCTGTGATAAAATGGCTAAACTAGTAATAGTAGATAGGAAGGGGCCCTATAGCTAGCAAGTAGCTACTGTCCAAACGGATGACATATATATATCAAAGATTAAGAGTGGGGGGCCGTTTAAAAAAAAAGACATATATAATTATTATATGTATAAGTTATTTAGGATGTGACATAATAGCTAATGAAGTGGACGAGAACCATGAAGTACCAGGTTCAATTTCTAGTGTGATCTCTTCTCATTTGATCAAGTTTTGGTGTACGGAATTTCTTGATACATGCGCTTGTGAGAGATTACAAGTTGATAAAGAAATGAAACTCGAGTCTAATCCGATCCCAAAAGCTAGCTCATGAGGAGAGAATTGCCCAAGATCCTATAGATGCATGTTCCCATCCATTTGCCTATGTGCGACACCCACCCACCCACCCCACACACATATCCAAGACTGAATAGCATAGACAATATAAGACGAGGGGGCCAACATTAGAAACAATGAATTAGGATGTGTCTAACTCTAAAACCATGATAAAAATATAGACATTGATCATGAGAAAATGATTGACCAGGATCATATAAGAAGTCCATGTTCTCGTCTTTAGTCGATATGGAACACCAAAGCAAGTACTATGAGAGAGACTATCTTCCTATATATCTAATTTCTCCCTTAATGACATTTTCTTGTAATTAACAACAAAAATCATGGCACAAAAGTCTTAGTTAAATATCTTCACATAAAATAAAAGAGAGAAAGGGACTTTCCTTTTGTTAGTGGGGTTTAGGTTTGACAAGAACCGAATTTGTGATTGTTATAGTACATCAATTTGGCCATAGGGCTTTAGGAATCAGAGACCAAAGAAGGTGGCAATGGCGCTCCCTTAGCAGGTAGCTAGCCAGCATGCCAAATAATTAAAGGGAAATATTGCTTTGGTTGATGTTACACATCTCATGCAAAGCATGCACAAGTAATAGAATAAGTCACGCTTGTCTGCGTAAATGGAAGCATATTTTTAAGATGTGTGGTCCTACGTGATCATGCTTTTGAATTTTTTTTTAGATATTATGCAAATATTCTTTCAGATTTTTGTATCTATATAACGTGTGATCATACAGTTTTCATATGCTTCAATTATTCTCATTTTTGTTTGTTTGAACTCTTTAAAAATATTAGCGAGATGCGTGCTGGATCTTTCAAAAAACAATGTGTTGTTTGGAAAATCTGACACGAGTATATGGTAATGTTTTTGGAGAGTTTTGAACGACAAAGGTTAGTTTAATATACTCCCTCCGTTTCAATTTGTTTGTCATGTTTTGACTCTGTACAAAGTATAAGAAAGTAAAGAAGACTTCTAAATCTTGTGGTATTAAATTGAAGATATGTCAAATGTACCACAATGTTATTTAATAATGTGGTTTTAAACATATCACTTGAGAAGTTGGAACTAAATAGTTGTCAGAAAAGGTAAGGGGTATTCTTTTCTTAAACAGACTACAAAGGAAAAGTAGGATAAATAAATAGAAACGGAAAGAAGTATATTGGATTTCGGATGATGAATAAATATCGATAAATGTGAAAAGGTCCTAGACAAATGTATGCTCTTTCATCAATGTGATTCAGGATTTATATTTGATGAGTTCAACTTTACTTTTATTTACTGAAAATATTGTATATCTTATAATTATGGGTTTTGAACCTAATATATTTTCACATTTTTGATGATTTTCCCCCTAAAAAAACACTTTTCCAGGTATATATTATAAAGCACGGATGTCATTCTTGAATTTAGCTGGAATCAACCCTCTATTTTATATGAAGTTAGCTATAGCTAACTTTTATATTTTTTGCTGATCATGATATAGGAATCATGACTTATTAATGGAGAACCCTTGGATATATATAGCAGCTCTAGATATATAATTGTAGAGTTTCCCCTTTTTTCAACTTTCTGTTGTTTGGGATTGGTCTTTTTTTGGG